CTTCCTTTATTTTGTATGTGGGACCCCACCACAGCATGGCTTGATGAGTGGTGTGTAGGTCCGCGCCCAGGATCCAAATCTGTGAACCCTGGGCCACCAAAGTGGAGTGTGTGAACTTAACCACTATGCCACTGGCCCAGCCCCTTTAAGTTGAACTTGACTTTTTGATTTTCAAAATTTCTTCTCTTCTAATGAATACATTTAAGACTAAAGTTTTCCTCTAAATAATATTGTAGTGGCATGGCACAAGGTTTGAAATGTAGTGTTTTCATCGTCATTCGTTCATAAATATTTTATCATTTCCATTACAATTTCTTCCATGATCCGTGAATTATTAATGTGTTTTTAAATCCCTGAATGGATAGAAGCTTTTACTGGCTTTTTTTTTCTTGAGCTAGACCAACAGCTTTATTGAAAGACGAGGTGAGCAGAGCCCCCTCCAGCTGTGGTCCTAGCGATGTCGGCCCCAGGCTCGGGGAGGGGGGGCGTCCCGGGCATCCTACAGCCCCAGAGCTGCTTTTTTGGTTTTGTTTTGTTACCGATTCTAATTGTATTGCACTGTGTCCACAGAATACAATCTATCAGTGATATTTGGGAGTTTTTGAGAGTTGCGTAATAAATAAGACTGTTGTATTCACTGGCTCTGTTTCTTGATTTCCTCACATTATAAAATTTCCCAAATATGCTCCAGTGATGGACAAGAAAATAGTTCCATTTTATAACACTCTCCGGGCACCAGGGAGAAGTGACTACAAATATATGCCAACCAGGAGGACGCAATAGGAACTGAAAGCAGCTCTAAAAGTGTTATTTCTGTCCAACTCCAGCAGTGTCCCCAGCGCATGACTTCCATCAAAGCCAACATTCAAGCAACCGGGCCGCCCCCCCACCCCGCTCGCGGGGGCCTCCCAGGGTCGGACACTGTGCTCCCAGACCAGCAAAATGTCATCCAAGCCCTCGAGGGGTTTACACGTGCGAAAGTGAACCATCAAATGATGTACAAACGCCATCTGTCACTGACTGGAGATCAAGCCCAAAACACGAGAAACTAAATCTTAAGAAAACAGTATACAAAAGGCCCAAGGCATATGGGATAATCTACCAAATGAGAGATTTGCACAGTGCAAGTTAGGGAGAAACCACAGAGCACTGGCTGAGCCCCTTCTGAGGACACGCGCTCAGGCATTCCCTCGTGAGGAAGGTCCCAGCACTTACACCCTGGCCCTCCATGCCCTGGCTGTAGCTATCGGCGTGTGTCTGCACCCAGGGGTGCATCTCCAGACTCACCAGCAATGTTAGCAATGCCAGGAAAATGGACTCTGCCCAAGGGACAGTGACCAGTCACACCAAAATCTGCCTTGAGGAGTCTGCATGTGAGACAAAGAGAAGGGCGCACAGAGCAGGTGGTGAGGAAGCCGAGGGCAGTGGCATAAAAGAGAAGGACAAGCAGTAACCAGGAGCAGCAGGCACCAGGAGCAAGCAGAAGGCAGGAGGTGGGGAAGCAACAGCCGGTCGGTCCGGCTTCACCGGCCTGAAACACGCTGCTTCCTCTGTTCTGATACAGACTGAGCCCTCCCCATCCCTGGAACTCTACACGGTCCATCCTTCCTCCAGGGCCCCACACCACAGCCAGTCCTCGCCAGGAATGCTCACATGCGGTGGATGCTGCCTGTGCCCTCTGCCCCTCAGCCAGTGTCCCTCCCACCTCTCAGGACCCCATGGGCACCATCATGCCACTCGTCTCCGGAACCTCTCTTGCCTGGCACAGGGACACAGTTCCCACTCCTCCTATAAACAAGGCTCTCTTGAACCCACACGCTTTAAACTCGGTCCCAGAGGACAATGCTGTGCCCTTGCAGGTTTCCACATGCGAGGGGAAGGGCCAGCTCTGCCTCTCACCAGGGAGAGAATTTCAAGTCCTTCCTACATCTCAGAGGCCCCTGCCCTCAGGTGCTCTGTCTAACAACAGCCTTTTAAAAAGGATTATTATTAAACACAACAGCAAACCTGCGGGTCCGAAGCACCTGTGTTTGAAATGCTTCCCGAGTCCAAAGCTAGTTGGAGAATAGTGAGGATACTAGTGGGTATTTGGTTTCCGTGGGTTTGAGTGAAAGGGTCCGATGGCCTTCCTGAAACGGAGGAGTTCTGCTCCAAGGTGACTTTGTCTCCTCTGCTAGGACTGTAGGCCCCTTGCCTACAGGGACAGACATCCAGTTCCAGTCCTCTGAGTACCTGCTACAGAGGAGAGGTGGCGGCAGCGGAAGGAGAGAGCAAGGCTGACTCACAGGAACAGCATGGGGACCAGAGGAGGAGGAACACCGTCCTCGGGGGCTCAGGGGCACGCGGGGCCTCGCTCACATCTCACGAGGCCTTGCCACATGGCCCGTCACCAGCCCAAGTGGGTCTCGGCTCCTTCCCACCTGAGTGAGCCCACACAAGCAGTCGGGAAGCGACTATAGAATTTCAGACCCAAAAGAAAGAAAACCTCAGAGAGCAGGTGGTGTACCACTCATTTCATGGATAGGAAAAATGGGGTGCAAAGTGGTAAGGACGTGACCAAAGCCACATGGTCACTAGACTCCAACCCTTGACCCCCGAACTAGATTCTTGTGCCTTGTCTCCAGTTACCAGGGGCCTCAGAGTAGCTGGTAAGGGGCTGCCACATCAGCACTAGTTCCTCTGACCTGGCCTCTCACAAAGGAGATGGCCACCTCCAATCCATGAATCCACCAGAAGTTCTTCACTAAAAGCCTACGGGTAACCAGCACCACACAGAATCACCAAAAGAAGATACTCGTCCTGACCTCCTCTGTGTGCAAGATGCTTGGAGTGTGTATTCGTTGGAGACATTGCCTTAGGTCAGAGTCCATAGAAGCAGAGCCTGAGATGAGGATTCTGTTCAAGGGAACAAGACCTGTTGGGAAGTGCTCTCTGGAGAGGAGTGGGAAGCAGGATGGGGCAGGGAAAGGGGCCAGTGATGTGGTCTCAGCTGGAGACTAGCATCGTTGGATCCCTCAGGGAGTTCTGGGCACAGAGAACTTCAGAGCTGCTGTCCGCCCCCCCCCCCCGCCCCCTCCCCCATATCAGCACTCATCTGCGGAGGTGGGGGTGGGCTGGGGGCAGCCCCCAGGCTAGGCAGCTGGGAAACACCAGCAGCTTGGAAAGGAGATCTGGCAAAGCCTTGTCCACCGCAGGCATCTCTCACCTGGGCATGCTTAGGGTGAGGAAAGTGAGGCTTAGTGATGTTTTGAAGAGGGTCTTAGGAGGGTGGAGAGGGGAACAGGGAGGGCGCACAGACAGGGTGGAGGAAACGCCCTGGGCGAGGGGCCTGCTTTCTCCTCCAGGACCGGCCCTTTTCTGGGCCTTTCTCTCCTGTACTGTGTTCTGTACTGATGGTAAATTCCCGTAAAACCAGGCTGGGCAGGCCAGGTCAGGACGGGCACTGATGATACATGCTCCTGTCCCCAAGGGGTGACCATGGGCCAGACCCTGGACCCTGGACCCTGGCAGAGGCAGTGTATTCTTTCCACATCCCACAAGCCTGCCTAAGAAAAGTGTCACTCCTCCCTTTAGGTGGTAGAGTTGATGGAACGTCTGAGTCAAAAGGCCACCAGAGAGGTGGAAAAGTGAGGCAGAGCAGAGCAGCTGCCTCACGATTCCCTGAGGATCTGGTTAAAATGCAGTTCCTGACCCAGAGGCTGGAGTGGGGCTGCGATTTTGCATTTAAAACAAGCTCCCAGGTGACGCAACACTGCTGGTCAGTAGCAGGGGCATTGGTCTGCCACCTGGAACCCACTCACCCGCCTTGTTGCCTCTGGTTTTCCCTGGAGAATCTTTCCTTCCCCCACTCACAGACTGCGGACTCCAGCTGGGGTGACCACTCGGCAGCAGCGTGTGCCCACGCCTGGCCATTCTGAACACTGCACACCCCCACCTGGTGCAGCGACTGGTCTGGTGACAGAAATCGACCGATTCAGGCCCACGAGTCAGCCCTGAAACTGGTTCAGACCGTCAGGGGAAGAACGGAGCCTGGGCAGGCAGAGGACTGAGCTGCTGCCCGCTTCTTCCTGCCCCGCCAGCCAGGGAGGCAGCCAACACGAGGGACAGCAGAGTCAAAGTGGGGCTAGTCCCGGGGTCCCCATTGAGCCACTGCTCCTCTCAGTTACATGAGGACCGTTCCCCTTTGTGGGGTCAGTCAGTGTGAGGTGAACAGGAGTCCTGCTGCTGCACCCCTCCCCCCCGCCCCCCAGCAGAGCCAGGTTTCAAGGTCCCTGTCCTCCAGTTACCACCGCTTGGGACACTCCTTGGCTGATAGAGACAATTGATGCAGCCCCAAATCTGGGTCAAAGAGCAAGGCACAGAAGGAAGGTTCTGAAGTGAGCCTCAGCCATGATCGGGCCCAGCCCCTCACCAAAAAACAAGAGGGAAGTCACTCAACCCAAGTCTCACGGCTGCTGGGCTGCCTGACATAGACTCCACTCTCCAGCACCAGAAGACACGGGGCTGTGAAATGAAGTGGTCCGCTGCCAGGCAGGCCCTCCTCGAGGTAGGAGGAGCAGGAATTATTTTCCCCGTGTCACAGATAACACTGAACTCAGGAGACACACGCGACTGCCCGAGACGGCTCGGTGAAGCCGGGCCAGCACTGCAGCTGGATGTCTTCCAACTCGTGCCGTCTTAGCCACCCACCTCTCAGGTACCCATGGGACTCACCCCCCAGGTTCTCAGCAGGTCTGGCCTCACTGTGGGCTGAGTAGGCAGCTGGGGATACTTCAAGAGGCCTACTATCCGCTACCCACATCCAGGTGGCAGCCATTCTCCAGACTGGAGGGTGGGGGCAGCAGAAGGTAATTCATTGCTGTGCCCTTTAGCTATGCTCCCTCCAGCCTTTGGCCACCGTGAGTTACCTTGAACAGAACTCCTCAAGAAATGATGGAGGCAAGCTAGAGGCACGGCCTGCTCCCAGCTGAGCCCCAAATGACCACTCCTCACACCAGCTCTTGTCAAGAGAATGTTTATTCCACTTGGTCATCTCCAGCAGGTGTCTGTGACCTATGGAAACATCCAGCCTGGACGAGCATTTACGCACACTCCTGCATAACCAGGGGGGTCCTCCTGTCCCAATGCCCCAAGCAGGGGAGGACCTGAGGCCTCCTATGGCCATTATTGCCTCAGGGGAGCCAGCCCACAGCCCAGTAAAATGTACCCACTAATGAGCTCACGTGCTCTCTCCCCTTTCACACCTCCCAGCACCGGCCACCCCTCAACCTCCGGCACCTGACCCATTAGCCAGTCGACAAGTATTTCCTGAGTGTTACGGGCCCAGCCTTGTGCCAGACCCTTGTCCTCCAGGACCCCACAGTCTCATTGGAGATTCAAGACGCGCACGCGCGCGCGCACACACACACACACACACACACACACAACTGGAGTGTAAGACACGGTGCTGTTCAGAGAAGGAAGGGGGAATGCGGGCTAGACGGTCAGGGAAGCTGGGCCCTGGTGGAGAAGAGGGTGGGCAGGGCGGAGGGGAGGAGGGGCACATTTCAGAGCAATACCAGGGAAGGCAGAGGCAGGACACAGATGGCACAGTCACAGGGGAGGGAGGAGACAGCCGACAATCAGCAGAGAAGTGCATCTGTGAGGTCCCCTCCAGGTTGGCCAAGGATCAGAGGAAGTGGAAGCTCCTGGAGCACCGAGCGCTGCTCTTTCTGTGCTCCCCCTAGAGCGGTCTGTTATCCCAGGACGAGGCGCATGGCAGACGGTCAGTAACAACCAGCCAAACTGCAACGGAGACGGGACAAGCAAGAGCCCAGGGCAGGAACCCACAGGGGCCCGAGACGACCCTGACCGAACCCAGCCCAGCCCTGGGACCTCCCACCCAAACACAACTCCTCCGCACCCCCACAACTCACATCACTGGGATTGGATCTCAATTCCACGACTAAAGGCCTCTCTCCACCCCAAGGGTTTCACTAAATGTAACCCACTTTCTTAAGTCTGGTTTTCATCAAAAACCCATCCTAGCCCTGGTCGGTCACACCTTTTTTGACGGGCGGTTCATTCTGGGGAGGCCAGGGGGCACTTCTGGGCTCCAGGCTGCCCTGAAGACCTGAGAAGTCCTCGCCCTGTTGTCGCTCCAGCACCCACCCCTCCACTTGTTCCGAGGGCACAGCAGAACTGTGGAGTCTGCCTCTGTCTCCACCTGGAGCCGGTGGCACGAGGAGCGAGGCTCCATCTTCCTCGGCAGCCTTCCCATCTCGTGCCCGGCTGAGGCCAAAGGCCGGCTCTGGCAGGAGGCAGGTCCACCTGGCTGTGGCTGCTGGAAGCAGAATTCCTTCTCCGGGGTAGGCTCGGCCCAAATTCATGCCTCTGCCCAGCGTCCACAGAGGTCCCAGCCCTCCCCACCACCTTCCCAGTGAGATCAGAGCCCAGGCCAGGAGCCCAGGGCTGCACTGTGAGAGCCAGCACCAGGTGACCAGAGCAAGCAACCCCAAAAACAGAGAAGAGCAAACCAGCCCAGGGAGCCTCCAGCAACGTCTGGGGAAGGGAAGCAAGGTTCAGAAAGCTGCTGCCCTGTGCATTAGGTCTGGGAGAAGAGAGTGACCAGACGGGTCCCCTCCTCAGAATTCTTTATTCCTGAACAAGGAAAGGAGGGTCGGTGGGGGAGGGAAAAATGCTACTAGTTTGGTGCCCTGACCCCAGGCTCTGCATCAGGCAAGGAGAGCAGTGGGTGAGGCCCCGGGGCCCAGGTTCTCAGCCTGGAGTCCAAGAGCTCCCGACACTGCTTGGAGATTTGTGGTCTGCAGGAGTGTGTGTGTTTTCCTGGCGAGAAGGTTCCAAACCTTTGTCAGATTGTCGAAGGGCTTCACGCCCCCAAAAGTGTTAACAACAATTGCTCTGAAAGGAGAGTGAAGCCTGTAAGTAGGGATCACACCGGGGTCAGGTTCTGCGTCTAAAGCCAGGTCTGCTCCGGACTTGCCGTGTTCTCCAAGGCCAGTCCCCTCCTGTCTCTGGTGGGCCAGGCAGGAGCAGAGAAGCCGTTTATCCACACAGGCACTGTCCCTGCTGAGGTCCGTGGCCAGGCGGCCAGGAAGAGCTCTTCTCTGGCTGCGACTTCCAACAGGTTCAGGGAGTTTTTCCACCAGGGCACGGACGCTGCCTCCAATTCCACGCTCCATCGCTCCTTCCGCCATCGCTGCAGGGCCCTCCCGAGGTAGGTTTTCTGAGGAGCATCCTCACGCTGGGGTGCAGGGCCCGTGGTCCCAGGTCCCAGTCTCTGTGCCCAGATGTGCCTTGCACACTGCCCAGAGGTCCTGCCCACTCCGCATCTGTTCAGAGACAGAGACCAGGGTCAGGTCTGGGGCTGTGACTCGGCCCTGCCCAGCCCCCCTCAGCCACCCCTCGGAGGCTAGGAGGGAGCAGTCAGCTGGGCCACCCTGCATCTGTCCAGGGCTTGGCCAGTCCTCTCAGCCCCTACCAAGCACTCAGGGATTATTAATCCCATTTGCAGATGAGACAGCTTGGGTTCAGGATATTCTGGTGACTGGCTCTAGATGTCCCAGGTCCCAGTTTAATCTCTTAATCTCTGCCATTAAGTACTAGTCCACATTACAACATCCTGGGGGTGACAGGCAGAGGGCAATGCTGGAGGAGCCATGAAGCTCTAAGGAAGAGCAGAGGGTAGGGTCTCCAGCACCCAGCAAGGACTGGCCATGGAGCCAGGGGCAGGTCTCCTCCAACCCCAGTTCCTTCCTCCTAACCCACTACCGGGGATCCCAGGTCCCCTCCAGGCACCCACACCAGCCAGTGACGCCCCTGCCCAGGCTCCTACCATGTGGTCCCTGGTCACATTTCCTCATCCTCAAAGCTCCATTTTCCCACGAGTAAGAGCCTCCCTTAAGGAGGGTGGAGTGGAGATGAAGGGTCTTGGGGTCCAGAACCCAAAGCGAAGCCCAGGCTTGCACCATTGTAGACTAAGTGCTAAGTGTGATTCGGGGCAGGCTTGTGGAAGCCTCAGTTTCCTCATCTGCCAGATGGCTGAGGAAGCCCAGGCCTGGGAGAGCCACCATGGAGTCAGAGGCCCCTTGGGCAAGCCCCAGCTCTCCCTTCTCACGGCGTGACCTTGGTCAAGCCCCTCTGCTGGGGGCCTCATTTTCTCTTGTTTGGATGACCCCAAGACCCTTGAGGCTCCTGCTCGTTCCACTTCCATCTGTCCCCCCAGTGCCTCCAGTTCTCCTTGAACAGCTCGTCTGACATCACTGTGCCATTCTCATTAAACATCTCGGTGTCCCCTGTCCCTGCCCGCAGAGTCCTCTGTAGGGCAAATAGGAGCCTCCACTATCAGACCCCACCTCTGATGCCTCCTTCCACACCTTGCTCTCCCTAGGGCAACTCCATCGTCCCCAGGACCCAGCTCAAACCATCAAACTGCCTTGGGTGACGTTGTCACCTACCCCCCCTCCAAGAGCATTTTTTATCTGTCCCCCACCGTAGCCTGCATGGCCCTGTGTGAGCCCGGACATGACCTCAGGGACAGGGCCCTGTGTCTGTGCCTCCTCCGAGCGCCCAGCCCAGCTCCTGGCACACAGGGTGCTCAATGTTTCCAGATCAGTCACGTCACCCTCTCTTTCTAGTGATAGTAATTACAATCCTCACAACATCCCAGGGAGAAGTCCGTCATCTTTAGCCCCAGTTTACAGATGGGCAACTTAGTTACGACTTGAAATAACTTCTCAAGGACACCAGATAGTAACTGCTGGAGCCAAGAGAGCTTGGGGACTGCGGGTGGGTCTGGGGATTGTGGAGAGGGGCCCTCTCCAGGTCGCTTGCAACTCTTGACATTCTGGGAATGAAGGTCTGGTAAGAAGCTAGTCATAGTCACCTGCAAACCCAGTAAGCCCCACCTTCCCCTCCTGTCCCCCCACGCCCAGCCTGAGAGGGGCTCCCGCCGGGCCGTCAGTCGGGTCTCACCTGCTCTAGGCCGGCAGAGCCTGAGGAGGAAAACCAACACAATGGCCCAAAGCAGGCGTACGCAGCCAGCCGGAGGGTCCTAGGGGCGGAGCGGAAGGAGGCCGCCCGAGCCTGGCAGCGGCCCACTCCTTCCAGACCCCAAGCCAGCCCTCCCCGTCTCCCGGGATCCCATCCAGCCGGGGCACCGCAGCCCAGCGCCATCTCCGGGGGTCACGGACGTGGCTCTGGGGCAGCAAACAGCCGGCAGGCGCGGCGCGCATCATAGCACGCGGCCTAAATGGGCCGCCTGGCCGTCGGGCCCGTGGCCGTGGCTGCGCTGGTGGGTCTTGAGCGAGCCCTCGCGCGCGAAGCTCTTGCCGCAGCGGGCGCAGAAGTAGGGCCGCCGCTCCCCGAACACGCCGGGCCGGCGCGGGTGCGGCGCGGGCATGCGCGCGTGCGTGCGCTGGTGGTTGAGCAGGAAGCGCGGCTCGCGGAAGCAGCGGCCGCACTGCGCGCACTGGTGCGGCTTCTCGCCGCTGTGGATGCGCTGGTGCGTGAGCAGGTTCTGCTTGAGGCTGAAGCAGCGCCCGCACTCGGGGCAGGGGAAGGGCCGCTCGCCGGTGTGGGTGCGCTGGTGCACCTCGAGGTTGTGCTTGACGCTGAAGGCCTTGCCGCACTCGGGGCACACGAAGGCGGCCGCGCGGCCTGCCCCAGCGTGCGCCTTCTGGTGCCGCACCAGGCTGGGCTGCTGCGAGAAGGTCTGGCCGCACAGCGGGCAGCGGTGGGGCTGCTCCTCCGCGGGGTGGTGGATGACCAGGCCTCGCTCGTCCCCCAGGCCCTCTTCCCCGTCCCCCGCAGGGGACCCGCCCCCGGAGGACGCCAGGTCGCTCATGGGCACTTCCAGCTGCAATCACCAGCCCCTGGGGAGGCAGAAGTGGAGAGAGGAGTCAGGGGGGACCCTAGGGTCAGCCAGTCTCCAGCCTCAGGGAGGACACCCCACTGGCCACTCACAGCTTCCAGCATGCGCCCTTCTACAGTCTTGTTCGAGCCAGTGTTCCCCTATGGAAATGCCCTTCTTTCTCCTCTACCCCTTAATCACATTCTGCCCTTCCTTCAGGCCCCTCTCAAGTGCCATATCCTCCTGGAAGCCTTTCCTGACCCCTCCGAGCTTCGTGGCCCAACCCTGTGACCCTCACATCACGCTGCATGCGGGTCAGTCCTGCCACCTCTGCCTCTCACCACACCCTGCGAGCCTTTTAAGGACTGAGTTGCTTTCCTTATCCCTGAGCACTGTGCCTGCCACACAAAGCACTGAATAAACGCCGATGGGTAAGATTCAGGGGCTTCTGGTACTGTGAGTCATCCTGCACCAGGACATGCCATCCCTCCAACCAGATGCTCAAGGCGGGGTGGGGTATGGAGGTGCACCCCAATCTGGAGGGAAGGGTGGGGTCACCGGTGGTTTCAAGATATTTTTGCAAAGCTTAAAAGAAGAAACAAAACTCTGTACTTGAAAGTAACCTTATTAAATATTAAAGGCAGCAGCTCTTTTTTTTTTATCAAAATGAGGCATGCCTGTAAGAAGTCTGCAAGTCACTGAAGCAGAGTGTGAGCTCCCGGGGGCCAGTCTCAGCCTAAGTCCTGGCGCCCCTCAGCAAAGCCTGGCCCAAGCTGAGCAACACCCGCAATGCTCAACAAAGCCCCCAGGTTCAGCTCCATCCAGTTCATGCTAGTTCTCTAAGGATCCTCTTCCCCAGGGCACTGTGTTCCTCTTACACTGGTTCCCATTGTCCTCACACAGTCCTGAGGAAGGGGCAGGGCTTATTGAGCACCACTCTATAGCTGGGGAAACTGAGGCTCAGTGAGGTCAACAGACTTGCCCAAGGTCACACGGCAAGGTGAGCCAGGACTAGGCCCTAAGTTTCCTGACTCACTGTCAAAAGCTCTTCTCAATATACTAGCTGCTCACCAACTCAACTCCCCTCAAAATACACACACACACACACACACACACACACACACATAGACCACCACCACCATCCTGGCCTGCACAGAGCCATCCATTCCCAAAGGGCCACTGCTCTTGTAGGACACTGCTGGCTGCCACCAGCCCCATGCCTCCAAAAATCCTTAGGCTCCTGTGGAACCCTGAGGCCTGCTCCAGAGCCAGATGAGCTGGCCACTCCCCTGCATTCCCCCACCCCCATCAGGGAAGCTTGGCCGTTCCCCTTGACCTCCATGCAGGCCTTCTCCACGCTTCCAGATCTCACTGCTTACTACCACCTCAGTCGATCTATCTGCAGAGTGGGGTCTCAGAGACACTCCCTCTGTCTCCCTCTACTCTCAGGCCAGGGTGGAGCACACATTCACCCTGGAGAAGGGGACGTGTTCTATTTGCAGTAGACCCCACCCACAAGCCTTTCCCCAGGCAGCTGCAGTGACATCTGCAAAGACAGATCATCTCGGTCCCGTGGCCAATCTCAGCCTGGCCTCTAGGCAGCCTCCCCACTCTCCCCAGCTATACCCGACCAAGGCCCCGCCTGCCGCCGAGAGGGTCCAAGGCCATGGCCCCCCTGTCTCCCCCAAGTTCCTCCATCCCATCCCACACTCACAGCCCAGGCTGCGCCCCTCTTCCTCCGGTCTCCACGGTGGCTCTTTCCTCTAGAGTCTGCACTGCCCAACGCAAATACGGTAACTCTCCCGCAGCGACTCCCGCGCCCCCTCGCCGCCCCCATAAAGACAGCCAGCCTCCTGCACCGCTGTTCTTATCAAATAGCTGCAAAAGAGCCGACCCCACCCACCCGACCCCCTGCGCACAACCTTGCCAACTCCTGGGGCTCGAGGGACCCTGGAGAAATATGGTAAACTCTGCGTCGCAACCCCACCCCCACGAAAATACGTAGGCCTGCCACCCTGCTGCCGAAACCCACCCCACCCCGCTGCAAGTCCCGGCTCCCTTAGGGAATTAATGCAACCCACCCCCCGCTCCCGCAGCGCCCCGGGGGAACCACGCCACCCTGGATAAATACGTAATTAAGTCGCGGCGCTCCCCACTCCCCGAAAGGGTCTGCGCGGCTCCCCGCAAATACGGTAGCGCACCCGCAGTGACCCGCCCCCAAGGGTCCAGCACTGGCCTCGGTAAATACGGTAATCTCCCGCCGCGGCCCCAGCCCGGCCCGGCCCGGGACTCACATGGCGCCGCCTCCCGAGCCCGCCGCCTCCTCCGCGGCGCCGCAGCCGCCAGCGTCGCCGCAGCCGCACAGCAGCCCCGTGAGGCTGGGAGGTCTAACTCTCCAGCAACCTGGATGGCGGCAAACGGAGGGCTACGAACGCTGCGCCCGCCCGGGCAGGAGAGGGAGCCAGGCGGCGGCCGGCGTGGAGGCAGAACCCCAACTCCCCCGGCTCCGCTGCCCCAGCCACTCCCATTTCAGGATCCCCGAGGCCCCAACTCAGCCGTTAGAGCCTCCTCCTCGCCTCCCTCATCCTAAGGCGGGGCGACCCCAGCCAGGCCCACGAACTGCCCCCAGCGCGTAGGAAGCAGGGTCTGGGGCCGCCGGAGGGACAAAGCCTTTCCTTGCAGGAGAGAGAAGTGGGGTGAACGCAGGAGCCCCGGCTGCGGACCCTTTCTGAGCGGGGGTTTCGTGGGTGGGAGACGGCAGTCGAAGGGGCGGAATCAGAGCTGACAGCTTTCCAAAGCCCACCCTACTATAAGGCCCAGGTTATGTCACTGGGATATCAGGGAATGGAAGAAGAAATTACAGCACTGCTGTCTGCTCCTCCTCAGAATCGAACCCATTACGGTCAACCCACAGATGTCCCATAAAAGAGCTGCTTATGACACCCAGGGGAAGCAGCTGGGTGAACAGGGCTGGGCTGCATTCCAGCTTCCAACTGTCATTTAGTAACAGCACCTTTTACCTATACATTAGTTCTCTTATTACAAAGCCATCCGCATATATCATCTCGCGCAAGCCTTCCAATAACCATGTGCTGTCTTGTTTATACAGGTATTATTATCCCATTTTATAGGTGGGAAAATAAAATAAAATTGAAACACAGAGTAGCTTCCCCCGGGACCCACAGCTCTAAGTGGCAGAGCCCAGATGAGAAGCCAGGCCCACCACCCAGCCCACTCTCCATGCAGCACTCTGGTACCTGGACCCCAAAGCAGAAACAGTGTGTCAGCCGGGATTGGAAATCATAATCTCATCCAGGGTGAGAGAGTGCCTCAGAATTTACATTTGATAGATAAAGAAACTGAGGCCAGAGAGGGCAAGTGATTTTTTTAAAGTTAAAGGTGCTGGAGGAACATCAACTGGCCTTTTTCTCTGGGGCCCCTCGGCAGCTGCCAGGTGGAGGGAGCAGTTGGGACTGCACAGGGCCCACAAGGCTCCTTACAGCAGACAGTGGATGTGGCTGTTGGGGTGGTGCTATCCCAGCCTCATGAGGACCCCCTGCAGCTCTGCAGGGGCCCAATGTGCCTTTCAGAGCCCGGAAGTGAAGAATTCCAGGTGGGGTCCACCTGGCAGCAAAGTCAATCGCTTACTCCTGACACCAGCCCTGAAGGTCGGGCCTGCCTGCTTTCACAGCTCGCTCTGCGCACCAGTCTATCCCAGCAGGTCCACCGGGGGTCACGCTCAGCCTCCCGAGGACCCACCCCAACCCCTACCCCCGTGCATATAAATGACCAGGGTTTTCAAAAGCAAAATCAATAACAGACTAGAGGATGTGGCCCATATTTTCAGCAGCATTTTCTAGGTAAGCTGCACCAAAATAGAAAGGAAAGGAACCCAGCTGGGCTTGGGCAGCGTGGAGGGTGCAGACAATAGGACCTAATACACACCCCAGCTCAGGAGGTGTCCATTCTCTGCTCTGCCACCAGATGACTTCTGCTGAGTCACTAGTTTCTCTGGCTGCATACACACACACACACCTCCCCCCATCTCCCCGGCCGTTCTCACGTGCTGTGGTGAACACAATAGAACGGCAAAGGGAAACATTCTGCAAACGCAGACATGCTTCTGCATACAGAAGAGCCCGAGGCCCAAGTGGCCGTCACCACCACTCCTCGAGGTCCAAGTGACAGCTGGACTCTGGACCCTAACAAAGGCCTGGGCTGCTCACAGTCTGGGCGGCCAGAGAACAGCTGGCCCGTGGCCCCCTTGTGGGTAGGGGTGTGTACTGCTCAGCAGAGCCCTGCCCAGGGCCCTGCACTGTGTTCCCTGCCCCCGCCCCTCCCCCTGGGGGGGGCACAACAGATGGACAGACCATCACCCCGAGTGCTGCCCTGCACAGCCCCAGACCGCTGCTCTCACAGATACCAGCCTGGCCATCCTCCAGCTCCTCCTGCTCGGCGCTGCATCCCCAGGGCTTCTGTGTTCAGCTGGGCCACCACCTCCCTGGTGACTAGCAAATCCCATCTCCCTGAATTGGACAGTGATCTCTAACATCCCTCTCCAGAGCATCTTGGAAGACCTCAAATTGGGATTTAGCACCCCAGGGGATTTGTTTCCCCCAGGTTGTGAGCATCCAAAGACAGGCACTGTATTTTCAGCATCTCTGTGTCCCAGGTGCCCAGTATAAACTAGCCCCCCTCCCCCCCGACCAGTCAATGTCTGTTGAATGAATGTGCACGTCTGCAAGCCACACCTGAGAGCTGTGGAGCGAAAAGATGGTCCATGGCCAGCCAGTGTGCTAATGTAACGTAAGGCACGGGGAGGTGCAGGCAGAGCTCCAGCTCCAGCCACAGCTCCGAGGGCTGGGAGACACTGCAGGGACCCAGATGGAGCTGTGGGCTTTGGGTGTGAGGTCTCATCTGCTCCAAAGTCTTCTTTCCTTGAAATTAAAGCCCAAGACGTGACTTATGACATCAGTTCAGCCCAGCCCTTAAACTGCAGTGGCCTGCTTACCACTGGGGATAGTTAGTTTCTGATGGGGACCGAGCTCTTTGGGAAAGCCCTTTCCTTCTCTTCCGTAGCACAGCTTCCACTTCTACAAATGTGGGGCAAGTAGCCGGCAAGGAGTTTATTAAAATCATGATTATGACTGCCCTCTATTGAGCGCTTGCTGTGTGCCAGGCACGATACTACATGTTTTACCCAGGTGACTTGCCCCAGGTCCCACATCTTAAATGGCAAAGCTAGAATTTAGCGCCAGAACTATCTGACTCTATCCACTATTCCCAACCACCAAAGAAAGCTCTTTCTAGATTTGGGGGGCAGGAGGGGGAGGCAGGGAGCTTCCTCTCAATAGGAGCAGTATTCTTAGGGCTATAGTGTCCAATAGTCACCTGTGGCTATTTACATTTAAATTAATTAAAATCAAATAAAATTTAAAATTCAGTTCCTCAGCCTCACTAGCCACCTTTTAAGTGCTCAATAGCCACATGTGGCTGGTGGCTATGGTGCTGAACAGCACAAATATAGAAGATTTTCCTCATCACAAAAGCTCTACTGGACAGCACTGGTCTAGGGCACCTCCACCTCCAGATCTGAGTAAGCAAGGAGACACCCTTCTCTTTTTAACCCAAGGGACAACCTACAGGACACCATTCATTTCCCTCTCTTCTCTGCCATGACCCACTAAAAGCCGTGATATGAGAGAACATACTATTTTTGGCCCCAACACTCCTCTTGCCAAAAGGTCAAGGATATTTCTTTACCAAACTACTTAGAAAAAGTTCTCAGGCAGCATCCCCTACTCCCGCCAGGTGCTCTCTCCTTGTGGGTATACCTGTCCGCTGGCCTCACAGCCTGCTCTCCCTCGGGCAGCTCCCTGGGGCTGGGCAGTGGGGAACCAAACCCGCCCAAGGAGGCTGGCCGCCTTGCCAGCTGACTTGAAGCTCGTGTTGCTTGCCAAAGGACAACCATTTTCCAGGGACCTAAGTCATTTCTCTTAGCTCCCAGCCTCCTCCTAACAAAAGAACACAAGGATGATGCCGTTCCAGGAACCCCAGCTCCACTAAGCTCATGTGGCCTGTTGGAAGCTTTGCTGTGGGTCCCCACCACAGACCTGCACTCACCTGGCCCTGGACAGGAAATAAGTCCTTTAAGATCTTGATTTATTTGCTCATGGTTGTTTTCTGTTCCCCTGTGCAACCCTTTAATCTCAGCACGCTCTGGAGTATTTTGGATTGTAAATCGCTAGGATAGTTCTAACCTTCTTATCTTTGATTTTATGGTGTGCCTCCTCCTAAATATTCTCTGACCCAGTTTTATTATTTGAAAATGAAAGGGAATGAAAACGGAGGTTGACAATGCCAGGCCATCCTTGGAGAAGCCTGTGATTGTGACAGAGGAAGAGGCTTGGCTAACAGGAGGCCTGGGACCTGCCGTCAATCTGCAACATGACCTGGCCAATTAACGCCACTGTCGCCATCCCCCTCTCCTAGGTCACTGCCCTGCCTAGGTCACTGACTCGTGGTGAGAGTAGATGAGATGGTGAATAAGAAAGCCTTGTTAAGAGAGCCAGGGCTGTGGACAATTTATTCAAGAGCTGACTGCATGGATTGTTCCGAGCTGTGGGTATATTAAAATGATTTTCCACAAAGGTCCATGAGCTCCTCGAGCGTGAGGACCATGACTGCTATTGACTGAATTGTGTCCCCCGCAAGCTGATGTATTGAAGTCCTGCCCCACAGTGTGACGGCCTTTGGAGATAGGGCCTTTGGGAGGCAAGGAAGGTTAGATGGGGTCATGAGGGTGGGGTCACCTGATGAGATGAGTCCTTATGAGACGAGGAAGACAGACCAGAGTGCTCTCTCTCCCCCCACCTTGATCGTGGACTTCCCAGCCTCCGCACTGGGAGAAATCACTGTCTGCTGTGCAAGCACCCAATCTGTGGTATTTTGTTATGGCAGCCCGAGCCGAGGAAGACAGCGGCTTATTCATCACAGCATCCCTGAAGTCTGACACAGTGCCTGGCACACAGTAGCCTTGTGTAGTGAGTCAGTGCTGTGCCATCCCGACCTGGTCAATGGGACACACACCTCAGTAGTTCTTTACTCCAATAGACCCGGCCCCATCCCCACTGTGACCCAAAGCACCCATTTGTGAGAGGATCAGTCAGCTGGGGGTCAGTGAACAGGCATTCTCATGAGTTTCCACAGGGAGAAAAGCTGCCTTTAGGCCTGGGGTTACTGAGGTCCTACACACAACTGTTTGACTTGACCATTAAGCAGAAGCCCTTTGTGGATGGTACCGCATCCCACTGTACAGAAACTCACGCCCACTGATCTCTCCAGTACCTGCCTGCACCGCCCCTCAGGCACCTGATTCCACAGGGCCCCAGGGTTTCTGCAGGTCCTTCCATGCAGACAGTGGCTCTCTAATGCAGGCATGGGATTCCGGGATGCCTTCCTGGAGGAAGTGGGCTTGCTTGAGTTGGTCTCAGCATTTGCTAAGTGGCAAAGAGGAAGAAGCAAATGACTCTTGAACTTTCCCCATGATTAAAGTGGGTTTTGATGAGATCCAAGGCACTTGGCTTCCCTGAGCAGGGCAGGCTGGGGGCAGGGCTGCGGGAGAGGAGGAGGGCCTTACAGGAAGACAGGGAAGCACCCAGGGCGGGTGTGGGTCAGAGCAGGTGCCTAGGAAAACCCTTCTAATTTGGCTTCCTGCTGGTCCTGGGAGCTCAACTCTTAGACGAGCACACCTCCCGAGGTGTGAGAGTTCACACAGCGTCATTCATGATCAAAGACCACAGGAGTCAGCGGCCCCACCCCACCGCCCACCGAATGCTAACCATTACGGACACCGTGTTACCCAGCTAAGCTGGATCACCTCTGTATGTCTTCTTGTGACACTACAACAATTAGAGCTCCTACCAGATGAAGAGATTAAGCAAAACCTGAAGAGAGGGGTAACTGAAAGCCAGGGTGAACCCCACAGCTCCTGGAGAGGGTAACGCTTCTCTGAGTTCAGAGAAGAACCCGGCAGCCCCTGGGAGGCTGGCAGACACAGTTCATCCTCCTACAGAATCACACCAGAGTCCCCCCTTTTTCCTCTCACCTTCTGGCTATACAACCCTGATACCCCAAGACCCATCCCTCTCTGCAATTCCCCCTCCCCTTGTGGGAACACACAGCCCAAGGCTACAGCCCAGCTGGAGCCCTGGGTTCCTCTGTCGGCATCAGGGCCCCAGCACCCTGCTTTGGAAAGGCATGAGGGTGACCTCTGGGGGGCTGGGGGTCGCGAGGGCTGTGGGGGGAAGAGATCAAGTTGTCTTGGAGAGAGAAGAGAATACTGCCCTCCACCGCCAGCAAGAACTGTGCCTGGGCAGTTGCTATGCTCATGGCCAAAGCTCCCTGTCCTGGTCCTGGGGCAGACGGACCCCTCAGAGCACACACAGACCCGAGCTCAGTAAGGGAAGCTTAGAAAGGACAATGAGCCCACGTGAGATAGTCAGTCCTTCATTTTCCTCTTCTGCAACACCGGCATTGATGGGGATCCAGGTCTGATGGCCAGCCACACGGCATGCCCGCCCACCAGCAGGAGCAGCACATCTGAGTCCCCTGCTGCAGTCCTCCCCAAGCCGCCAAACCTCAGCTGAGCCCACCCCATGCCCCCGCCCTGACCAGCACACACATACCAGTCCTAGGGTCAGGCCAGCCATGACAGCACCCTGGGCTGCGGTGCACT